TCTTTGGAGGGTGAATTTGATCTGGTACAACGAATCATATATGAGGTAAGCTTTTAAACAATGGCAACCCCATACAGTATTCAGGAAAAAGAAAGTGCTAAACTGTTTTATGTTTTCAACAGGTTGATGATCCCAGTAAACCAAATGATGAAGGCATTACACCTTTGCATAATGCAGTATGTGCTGGTCATCACCACATTGTCAAGTTCCTGCTCGATTTTGGTGTAAATGTAAATGCAGCAGATAGTGATGGCTGGTAAGTGTCAAGATTTTTAACCTAATGTCTGGGAGAAGCACCATTTAAATGCACATTCAAAATTTAATTGAAACCTCTTCTGGGAACAATTTCCTTCCTCTTTATCCCCATCAAATGAGTACTCTCTAAGCTGTAGATGGAGATGAACTCAAATGCAAGGTTACAGGGTGTTCATCCCCCAAGCAAGCACACTTAAACCATAAATTAGATTATATTTTGTGATAATTAGTGGTACAGTTGCATTTCTTGTTCAGATGCTGAAATAATTAAACTATAAAGAATAAATGACGAAAGTCATTTTGCTTGTTTCTTCATCATAGATGCCACTACAGATGTTGGTGTTCTTGGAAAATTTCACCTTTTGGGTGGCTGTAGCATTCCTGAAGTCTTTCGGGGCGGGAGGGAATGTGAATCCTCAACTTTGTTTTACCTTTCAGGCTTCCTTGTATTGGAAAATGCCCTTTCACACCCAACAGCTTTGTAAGCTGTGAAAATTATTAGTTTTGCTATCATCTGTTTCATAATGTCTGGCTTTACAGGAGTCAGGTAAATCCTGAAATCCACCCTAGCTGCTTGACAGGTTTTAGACAATGCATACACATACTATAAACATAAAGAAAAATTTCCTTTTAAAACAGACAGGCTGTAAATGGCAAGATGAGAGTTAGGATTCATGGAAGCTTCTTTTTTCACATGTACATTTTTTTGCTTTATTTCAGGACACCCTTGCATTGTGCAGCTTCTTGCAATAGTGTTCATCTCTGTAAACTATTGGTTGAATCTGGGGCAGCTATTTTTGCTTCAACTATAAGTGATATAGAAACTGCTGCAGACAAGTGTGAGGAAATGGAAGAAGGTTATATTCAGTGTTCCCAATTTTTGTATGGTAAGCTGTGACACCAACCCTTTTCTAAGATTCATCCTGATTTGTCCCTCTGATCTGTGTGAAACATTTGCTTAGGCCCCAGACTGGATGATATGGCCCATCATGCTCCTGTGCTTTCTAAGTGCTAAAACCAGCATCACCTTTTCACTGTGATGTTGGTCTTAGTCCTTCTGGGTTTTGAATGACTTCACAGGCTCCTTCAAATGTTAAGATTTTTAAAGTTTTAATTTGGCTTCATTTCCAGGAAATGCTTTTACAGGGAGGTTTTGACCGTAACAGTGAGTTGTCAAGTATTTTGACAGAAACACTCCTAACTTCCAGATGCACAGGCTGTCGACTGAATTCTAATAGTAGGAACAGCCTTTTGTTTCCCATAAAATGATATTAAGAGTTGGTGTTTCCAAGACATTTTGACAAGGCAGCATGTTTCTGTGTAGTGTATTTTCATCCCTATGCTGAAATTCAGACCTATTCTATTACCTGGGCAGCTATTGTATTATCTGGGCACCTGAGATCTATACCTAAATTTCTATCAGATCACACAAAGAAAGAAATACACTTTACGAATAATTCATTTACAGGAGTGCTTAGTTACTAAAATACATTTTGCAAGGAAAGCACTTCAATGGAGCAGACAAATTTTTAATTTCCATCAGAGAATTTAAGCTTCATTAAGGCTCTGTCAGATCTGACATTGTGTGAATTCTGAAAGCCTCAAGCGTCTCTGTACAAGGTCTCCTGTAGGAAGCAGTTTCCACTGCATATCTAATAAAAGAGAAAAACCTCATTCTCTAAATCATTCTGTAAGATTTTTTTTATCATGCAGTTGAATTTCTGACAGCATTTCATCATGGAAGTACTGAAAACTGTTCATGAAATGTTATTAACAGGAGACTAATATTTGGGCCACCGTGTCAATAGTAAAAATCTCGGAGGGAAAAAAGAGGCTATTTTACCATCTGGTGTTGTTAACAGGAGTGCAGGAGAAGCTGGGAGTGATGAATAAAGGGGTGGTGTATGCTCTGTGGGATTATGAAGCCCAGAACAATGACGAGCTGTCGTTCCACGAGGGCGATGCCATCACTATCCTGAGGCGCAAGGATGACAATGAAACGGAGTGGTGGTGGGCCCGCCTCAATGACAAAGAAGGCTATGTGCCTAAAAACCTCCTCGGGGTAAGTTCTTTCACCCTCTCCCTTGTATTTCACGTGCACCTGAAGTCGGAGCAAAAGATGGATCTTTAGTCAGAACTCCTCTGTGCACCATCCACAGCACTATGAAGTGGTGTAAAGCAGATTATTCTCTCTGGCCTCTCTGCCATTGTAAACAAACAGGAGGGGGTACTGTTAGGAGATTGGTGCTGGTTGTCATTGACCAAGTTAGTGTATAGAATATAGTTTATGCTTTAATGAGACTCTTTTCTCCTCCTTGGCTAAAATATAGAGCCCTTAAGGAAAGTATGGTGGCTCTATTAGGCAGCTTGAAGCCTTGGTTCAAAAAGTTCTTTGGGAAGGTTTTTAATACCTGGTGCAAGATAAGAACCTAGGTGTGCGTGAGTTTAAAACAGGAAAGAGCCTTGAAGATGACAACTGTGGGCACATTGTTTATTCTGCTCAGACAGATGGAACATTGTCAGGAGAGGCCAGGAATGTAAGGTGACTAAGTAGAGAGCTACTGAGGACAAAATGCATAAGAGAACCTTGCAGAGCAGGAAATAAGCTCTCTGGAGTGCTCAACAGGGAATTTTTGTACTTATGTAAAAGCATTCTTTGTCTGTTCTGGATCTTGAACTAAATGCACCATGTCATTTTCGGAGCAGCCATGTTGCTGCCATTGGCAGGAGTAAATCAGCTCTTTTCCTCCTGCTTCTTGTTTTTCAGGAGTGTCCTAAGAACACCCCCAAGCTCACAGAAACCCCACCCCCCAAAACACTTCATCACCCAGTTCTGCCTAATAAGGACCCCTAAAAGTATTTAAGTTGGTATTAACCATGCAAAGCCTAATACTGTTATTCTGTTTTTTTAGTTATATCCACGAATAAAACCTCGACAGCGAACCCTTGCTTGAATTCAGTTGTACGACAGTGCAGCACCACGCTGGTAACTGGAAACTTACAACATACACTGGAGCCATCATTTTTGGTCATTTCACACAGAGAAATAAAACTATGATATTTAGTTTTAATGGTGCTTTCTCTTGTTAAATGGACAGCATCCAGGATTTCCAAGATCTGCGGTTTGTAAATGAGGATTGTTTGTGTGACCAGCACTGACGAGGAGAGCGATGCCTCCGCTACCGTAGCCAGTGTTGCGCCAGCTCTCGTCTAACGCGGTGTTTTCAGTCAGAGTTCCGTGGTAGGAGCTTTCTTGTGTTCCGTGTTCAGAGGTGTCATTTGCAGAGTGCAGATGCACTGTCCAGTTTGCTCCAACCCCCCACAGCAACTGTCCCATGTCGGGATTTTGGGTATTTCTGTTCCATACCAGTGAATGTTGAGTTCTCATTACCCATCAACTCTTTGGGTTCTAGGACACAAGATCTTCATCTGTTACATGCATAATTAAGTAGTTACCAAAGCTTGGTGAAGACTAGGATTTTAGGTGGCAACACGGTAAACACTTAAATCCTAGTCTGGACAACCCCAACGAAAGCTTTACCTAGTCTAGCATCTTGCAGTATTTGCATTTAGAATCAAGCTAGAGAACTAACAAAAACCAACAGTATTTGTACACTTCTCTAAGTCCCTACACAATATTTCACTTGGTGTTTTATTTTCTTATTATTCAGCCTACAGCACCAGTGTTACCTCTACGAATGTAAAGGTTTCCCTACTAACCCCCCGAGCTCGTCCAGCCTGGACACAACAGTTAGTACAGAAGTTGCAGCAGCTTAAGGGATTTGTATGTCTGCAGGGATGAAAGTGCAATAGTTGAAAAGGGTAAGAGTCTGGTAAGGGTTATACTGTGTCACTTGAAGTCTGCCTGAGTCAGTCTAGAAGAAAATATGAAGGACTGGATAGAAGTAGAGAAAGACGGTCGTGTAGATGCCAAGTCGAGAAGAAGAAAGAAATAAGGTTTAGAGAAGAATTTAAGAAAGGCAATAGCTTATCTGAGGACAGTTTCTGTGGTTCTTGGCAGCCTACAACTGCTGCCAAGGCAAGTTATGCAATAACCTGTTCCACTACATTGTAGTTTCAAGCAAAAAAGAAAAACCCCCACAAACAGGCACTTCACTGGAATTTTAAATGTACATGATTTTATATACCAAAAGTATATTTTGAACTTCCCATTATAAGTTTTAGCCATATTTCTTGTAATTTTCTCCCATTTAACAGTATGCAATTTGATTAACTCTTCATGTACAAGTTCTGTGTATAATTTATATATCCATTTCTGCAGTGCTGTAACTTGCTTTTACCACAGGTCAGCATTAACTGTATATATTGTGGTGAAAAGTGAAAGGGTATTATTGTTGAAGAATTTGCTACATGAATGTGATGATTTCAAGAGCCTATGATACACTAATTCAGAGAACATGTAAATGTGCACAATAAAGTACTGCTAAGGCATGGCTGCATTCTCCACTCTCTTTATAGAGGTCTCGACAGCAGATGTGGCTTTGGTCAGAGTCTGCATGAAAACACCAATTGTAGCTTGCCAAGGTTACAGCTGTCAACCCACCTTTCCTCCTTGTTTTATCAGCTTCACTGGAGATGTGCTTACACACTAGTATTCCAACTGGGAAAAGTTAACTTAGAACAAAAATTAGTGTTTTCTTTAGAAAAAGTGAAAATTTTCAGAGTTCAGAGACCATTATTGTGGAAGTTGTATATTAAAAAATTAAATAGCATCTCTTTTTTTAAATAAGTGAATTAATTTATTCATATTTGTACATTAAATTGTATACAATTTCAGATAGCATTACAATTAGATTAACAAAAGCTCATTACCAAAAAAGAAAATACAAAACTAAAAATTATTCTGGAAGCTTATTATAGAAGTGAAGTTTTAAGGTCAAGTTCATGTAAGTCAAATTTGGTGGTATTTGGTGAAAAATTTAGATACTTAAATGTTTAAAAAAACTCACGTGATTTCTATAAAATCATATCTAAGGCAGTTTTTTTGTACATTGATTTTAAACATTTGGATAGAGGGAAAAACCTGAGATCTATACCCAAAAGCTATTCTCTGCAGAAGAGATGTACACATTTGTTTGCTTCCTGTAGCAAACAGTATATATAATGGTTACTATAAAAGTTGTGCTGTACACTAGCTGTAGTGCAGGTCACTTTCATATTAAGTGCCAGTAAAGGCTTAACAAAATATACAAAGTCTTAAAAGGTGAGGCTGTTTAAAGCATTAACTGTATACATATTGCACACTACCGTGAATACTCATGGTTCAAAAAAATACTCACATTGCATTTGCCAGTTCTTACATAATGAACCACGCTGGAATGAGAGAGAGAGTCAAGAACAGCAAATATTTCCAGCTGTCAAATCAGCACAAAGTGAGAGGCAGGTCTGTGGAGGCTGGTGTCTGTGTGTGCCCTCAAGAGGCCACATCTGCAGTTCTCACTGGTCTCGAGACTCATAGAGAAGTTTTGTTGCCTAATAGAAAGGGGAAAATGTCAGTGTTAACTGAAGTTTCACTTGCAGCCACCTTATCTGCTTCCTACCCATCCAAAAACCTCCTTTAAATCCAGGGCTGGCTTTAAATTAAATTCTTCCTCTGCTTTCCTCCATCTGAGACCTGTACTGAATGCATTTGCATGGTGACAGGAAGTTTGAGCACACTGTGCTGAGCAGAGTAGAGGCTGGGGTAGGGGCACCTGAGGAGTTCTAAAATGGCAATAAAGCAGCAAAGAGCCCCAAAGAGCCCATACACATTATAGATGACAGTTCTGATCAGCAATCGATCAGGTGACTGGTTGGAGTGTGGCTTTGGTTTTTTCCCCACCACAACTTGAATTTAGGAAATATAAACCTTCAATTTCATTACCCATGCAGGGCCTAGCTCCAAAAAATTAAAATCTTCCATTTCCAAAAATCAACAGCTTCTTTGAACCTTCATGAAGCAGTAAAAACAATTAGCTGAACTTAGGGTCAAATGAATATTTCATAGTGCACATTCTTCAGCCAGTAACAAAATCCAAGGAAGTTTAAAGCCAAATTCTTAGTTCTTTTCATCTAATAACATACGTAAGATCTTGGCAAACCCTTCAGAGTGCATAAATTCTGCAGGTCTCTGAGCAGAAAGCTAAAGTCATGTTCATTACACCCAGCCATAGCTTCTGTTTTCTAAGCGACATCACCGTGAAGTCCTTATTAAAAAAATAATAGAAATACTCATAAGGCTGAATGCTCTGTCTGGTGCTGCTGAACACCCTATATAAAGATTTTCTTCAGCCTTGTCTAAGTTTTGGCTGCTTTGCTTACCTTATGCATAGCTGCCAGCCAGGCTGCTGACAGCTTCTTGTTACAGCTGAAGTCTTCACCAGCAGTAAACTTCATCTGCGTCACCTCCTCCGACCCTGGTACCTTGTACTGCAGGATCATTCCTATGGCACGAGTGTTGCCTCCTGAAAAGAGAAATAACATCTGGAACAGCAGCAGGTAACTAAGTAACACAACATCTTCCTGCCCATGAGTATGTTTGGAGAAATGTGCTCATTACTCAGTTCAGAGCCCAAGCAGCTGCTGGATCTGAGGAGCTCACAACCACGGCTCGTAGTGCCAGGCAGTGGAACCTGCAGCCTCATATTGTTTCATTCTCTCTGCCAAGCACCAAGGCAGAACCTGCATCAGCCTTCAGGTAAAGTCACACACCTGAAACATCCTCATGATTTACTATCACCATGTTCAGACATTGATACCACAGTTTCGTATGGTAGCCTGCAGTCTGTAGGCTTAGGGTCCAATCAAACTGATGGCAAAGCAGGGTTCTGCTGGATACAGTCTGGCACGGCAGGCAGCAGTCCCTCCAAACCTGGCACAGGTTGGAATGATGCTTACATAAGGCTAGAGAACAGCTGGCAACATCATTTACTTCCTGAAGGAAATTGCAGCCAAAGACTCTGCTCTGTCAACCGTGCAATAACCAAGGTGTTTGTATCTCTCTTACTGAGGCTGCAGAGAAGATAAACCAAAGCAAAAATACAGATACTTAACAAGAACTTTTAGAATGACACATTGCTGTCATTACTTCCTGCAGCAGTGGAGCATAAACTAAGCCCTGGGAACAGCACTAGCATACACAGGACACTTCTTACAAAGCTCTTTTTAGAAGTGTCTGCGTGAAAGGGCTCCTGGAGGCTATTACTGCAATATCTGAGAGCCTAAACAAATCACAATCTAAGCCAAACTCAATCTAGTTAGTGCTGTTAATGCACCTAACCCAATCGGAAGCCCACAGCAGGGTTTATAAAAGCTATTTTCTACTCTCCTACGATAAATGGAAATTCAACTTCATCGATTGCTTCTCTGCACCTACTGGTCAGAATAACGGATTAAGGGTCTACTGAAAGATAAACCAGAGGAAATCACACACCTACAACCTTGACCAGTTTGCCCATGTCTGGCATTACTGAGACAGAACACACCTTGCATAACAAAGAAGCCTTTCTTTTAAAGTTGTGTAAAAGCAAGCCATTAATTAACAGTTCCAGTGCGAAGCCTTTCCAGACAGCACACAGGGAGTATATTCATTTCTAGTATGCCCAATTCAGCAAACTGCTAAGTTGGTGACCTGTAACGTTGTGTACTACTGCAGATACCATTTCTCATCTTCCCTTCTCCCAGCATGGACAACAGCACTTTGGTCTAAAGAAGGCCTTGAGTACCTTAGTTCTCCTCCAGTGTTACAAAACATTCACTCTTGGTTTATTAAACAGACATATGGGAAGGAACAGATACAAGTCAGACTTGAACATAACTCAAGTTGAACAGCAATTATGGATCAAGCAAATAATCAGCGCTGCAGAGAAGAAAGAGGTGAGGGGGTCATGACATGCTTGGGTGAGTCATGCTGAAAGGCACTGCAGATACCTTCAGTAACAGGCTGGCTCTCCAGAAGGCTGGTGTAAGTGTGAATATCTTTTTCTACCATCAAGAAGGAAGGCAGGCAGAAAAGAGATAAAGCAGTCAGAAGAGTAGTGAACAAGGAATTACAGGAGCATTAAGTGACTCAGCAATATACCAGGTTGATTTAAATACCAAGGTAAGTTTATTCAAGTTAACATGCTGTACTGACTGAATAATGCACAGATGGGCTGTGCAATTAGAAAAACCCAGCAGTGACAGAAGTGTTGGTAAAGAACAATTATTGAAATTCCTGACCTTGTTTGTTCTCATTTCAGTCAATTCATACTCAGGTTCATCCTGAAATACTCTAAAATCTGGTAAGAGATGGGGCAGTAAGTTGCTGCACTCCAATTTAGATGTTACCAGTTTCATTTGGCCACCCCTTTGTCTTGAATGAAATTAAGAAAGGATAGTTGAATTATTTACTCCCCCTCCCCCATTTAATTCTGTTAACAATGTCTGAACCAGTCAAGGCAAAATCCCAGCTGGATTCTGAAATGGAAGCTACCAAAAACTAACAGTTCCCCACTATGAGCTGTTAAATCAGTAAATATTTGTACATAGCCAAGAGAACAGGTGACAACCACCCTTACTCAGGTTCATCAAGAGGCTCTCCCACATTAAGGCTGTAGGGGAACTTCTCCATCTTTAGGTGTTCCCCCAAGTCCCAGAAGCCACTTGGGACAGGGTCTCACAGACTGTGCTCTATTCTGTGAGCAGTTGTAACCAACACAGTTACACACTGAATGCACTGTCTAGCTCAATAACTGCAGCTTCTTTTTTTTTTTTTAATAGTTCATTTGTATTAAAAGAAAAACTTACCTCCAGGAGTAAATCCCTCTGTAAGTATCTGAACAGTTGAAATCTGTATAATTTCAATTTCATAATGGCTGTCTCCATCCAAAACCAGGTATCTACATAATAGAAGAAAAAGGGGTTTTTCACTTTTTTTTTTCTACAATATCAAGTTCAAATCAAAGGAGAAAAATAAAACAATCTCTCAGTAACACTGTTTATGTGTTCTTTGGGGTGAGGAGGGATAGAAATCAAGAAGAAAATATTACTTTTCATTGAAATTTCACCCTTCCAAGACATTCTGATCCACACTCAGGCAAACACTCCTATTGTTGAAATTGTTGGGTCTACCCTTTCAGTCTGATTACTCTCCAATATCCTCAGGGCATGTTACTCTCATATTTTTTTAGGTTATGTAAGAATAGAGCTGTAAGTACAATAATGCTATAGTTTACAAGTGCAGTTTCTATCAATCTTTCTCACCTCTGGTTGTTGGAAAGTCGACAAACCATGAGCTCAGATTTATCAGATGTTCCCAGAGTTACAAAGAATGTAGCACCTGGAAAGAAATGGTTTAGTATTCTAATACAGAATTCAAGAAGCAACATTCAAGTATCAGAAAGAACAGCTAACTTTTACTTATAAATACACTGAATTGAGTGAAATAAGGAATAACTGAAATATTAAACTGGAAAATTAACATCAGCAAAACACTCAAGTATAAAAAGCTGATCTTTAATTATCATGTTCTGACTTAAAGGACCTTTCACACATGCTATGCAATTTCTCCCATGTGTAGAAATGCAGATGATAGCCAAAAGGAATCTTTTAAAAATTAGAAGAGATTTGGAGGTGGCAAAGACAAGCAATTAAAAACCCTCTATCATCACTAACACAAGTGATTGTTTCTGTATTAAAAGAAAAACCAGTGTAATAGCAGGATGTGACCTTCAGTTCTATGCTTAAGAAACTGTAAAGACATCTCTTTTTTATTACTGAAGGCTGGCTCAGTCTTATTGTGAGGTCAATGAACTTCAGCCTTCATGTTGATTCTTCCCCCTCAAAACTGCTTTGGCAAGGGGAAAGTCACTGTTGCTACACAGGAGAAGTGACTCAGAACTCCAAGGAGCCCTACACGCCCGACCCCTTTGCTTCCTCCATGCCTCATGCTCCCTCTATTACCTAATCCAAATACTGCTGGCCTGGGAAACGAAGGAAATAACATCCAGCCCTGCCCAATGGTCTGCAATCCATCCCCATAACCTGAACCATGCAACCCTGGAGTTTCACCTCACTTCCCAGTTCACCCAGACTCACTGACCCCAGCACTGACCCTGTGCTGCTGAAGGGAGACAGAGACAGCAGCACCAAGGCTGGAGAAGGACATTACAGCCACCATCACCACCTCTCTGACCATGTCTGTGGCTCTACAGCAAGTCAGGAACAACTTCAGAACATGAAAGCAATCAGGACAAGCTTTAAAAAAAAGTCTTCGGTTTTAAAAACACACCTACACCCTCATGGCAAAGCAGAGTGAAGAATGATTTATGTGCTCCAGGATGAGCACACTCCCTTCTGAGCCCAGGACCTCCCCAAGAACATCTGTGTCCATCACACATGGGGCTTAGCTTACCCATTATGCACATTGGCATCATGCTGAGTGATCACCAGAAGGCACTAAAGGATCACAGACTAATTTAAAAACTGAAGTTTCAGCTTTCTTAATGTAATTGAACATGAATTACTGTATTGCGTGAAGGTTTAAACCTATATAAAATTGAGTACTCATGATGATCTGCCATCAACCACAGCTGTAGGCCATGGACAAGATCAAAGCTCTCAGATGAAGCTTGAAACAAGCACTGTATCTTATTTGAAAATGTTAAAATATTCTCTAAAGTATTTTTCAACCTTATTTAATGTAACAGGAATATGGTTAAAAGATGCATTATTTCAAGGAAAATGCCAACTGCACACTCATCTGTTCTCACAGGTATTAAAAATTTGTCTTTAATTAAATCACTCTTTGTCAAGACCAAGAAGTACAAACTGAGAGGTGCAAGCATTGACTTCGAAGTGTGAACCTCTCTCTAAATAAACCAGTAACACAAAACCATTAACTGCAAAACAAGAGGCGTGACAAAGAGGAGACAAAACCACAGCCTGTTGGACAAGAAGCACTGCTCGTGCTGTTCACTGGAATTTGAATAAATACAAAGAGGAGCCCCGGGTGCTTACCATTCATGAGCACTTTGAGCTGTTTGTCGTAGAACTCTGTCTCCTTCTGCGAGACCAGGGCGCACTCCGCGCACTGCCGCACCGGGTCCACGAAGCACATGCGAGGCAGAGGCACTTTTTTACTGCAGCACTTGTCACAGAAACACTTCCCACACCTTCGGCAGTGATGCTAAGCACGAGAGAACACTTCCTTTACTTACTTACTATGGAAACTAATAGCTTTTTTTAATAATTTTCTCAGGTGTGAAATGTGCAAGCTGAGGGAAAGGTAGAAGAAATTAACTGCCACGGTGGCAGACAGGAATCTCTGAAGGTTGGACACAAAGGACTGAGTATAATATGAACAGCAGCACTCTAAGCCTTTGCTGGCACTCTGTAAAGATGCTTCTGGAGCAGAAAGACAGGAAAGGGCCTCTCTGGTTTCCAGTAAATCCTTCACCTCCCTCTCAATAAAAACCCATGACAAGAGTGGCTTCCAGGTCCCTTCCGACTTCTGAGAAAAGATCTTGGAGAACTTCAGCCGAAGTTTCTATTCTTCTTCGACTGAAAGTACTATTCTTCTCTTTTAAAACTTATTCTCAAGTTTCTCCCACGGGAAAAATATATGAATCTTCATACTTAGAACCTAAAGCTATTCCTTTTATCAGAAGTATCAGGCAGCACAGCACAAATCCAGTGAAGTTGTGAAACCAGAACGAGTATTGCAGTGTGTTTCACAGCCCCTAAATCTGCAACCAGTGGCCTGTGCTCCAGATCAGGGGTGTGACAGTGCCAGCAGATCTTCCTGATGCAAGCTCTCATGACACAACAAGTACTCCCAGTCAAGCAGGAACTCATCTGTGGCTCAAAGCAAGCCTGAAAGTTTGATACAAGGAGCTGATAACACTGCACTTTTGGTCAGTGTTAGGCTTTCCTTCCAAATGTTCTGCAAAATTCTCTGGAGTACCTATTTCCCAGGGCTACCTCCAACTGGTTCTCACAGCTAACACAAGGGAAACACAGCAGCTTGTCATCTGGTGTAACATATGAGTGTCTGGTTTAAAATTTCTCCTTCCCTCTCTTCCAAACAATTAAATTAAAAAACATGAACTGTTTCACTGCACTACAAATCACACTTTCACATCTTTCTTCACTTTGGTAAGGCTGTGCTAACAAAGTGTCAGTGTAATTATACAAAGGAATGATGTTCCCTCCTAAAAATCACTGCTGGCCTTCTTTGGGAGGGTGCTTTGCAGAATTCTCCATGTCATACTCTGCACACCAGTCTGCATTCCACAATGACCTCTTATCATTAATAACCAGAATTTAATGTCAGTGTTTTCTTTTCATCCAGTGAGCCTAATTATGTAGTTTATACTTTCTACTTTACTTGGAATTTCTCTCTTCCAAACTAAAGACAAATCCTGGTTTACTTCTCAAAATATGTCAATTTTAGTATTTTGCAACATTTACTGCTTCATATTTCATTAATTTATCTTACCTTTCTAGTTATGAAGTCAAATTTTGTATCACACTGCATACATCTTGGGCACTAGAAAACAGTACAAATTAAGATTAGTCTACAGTCTTTTTAAACCTTTAATTCTACCAGCATGCACGAAGAATGAGCTTTATATTATGCCCCATAAAGAAACACATCCAACAAATTTCCATCCCTTATCTTTTCACCATGAATAGCTTTCATTTAATATTGATGTAGCAAAATAACATCATCTCCATTAGCAAGACAAAACAAAAAAAGTTGCCAAACTTCTCCCTAATGAATAGTGCATCCTGCCAGCAGGCAAAACTACATCTCAGAATTATTTACCATTCTTGATAATGTTTGGCTATCGAGACAGTCCCATATTCCAGAGTCAACTGGTTTTCTGTAAGTTATCCTCACTTTACTACAGTGCTGTGCTGACTCGCTGAAACATTGTTTACACAATTTAATGCTCTCAGTACTCACACATTTTTGAAACATACTAAGAGATACTTGGTTTTCTTCCAAGCCACCAAGACCTAATGCTTATTCCAGCTACAAAAAGTCACTTCCTGAAATATCTCTTTCAAAACAAACTTACACCCACACTCCTTTCAAAAAAATGACAGAAAAAAATTGAAGGAGTTTCTCCCTTCCAACTAAGTAGAGTTTAAGGGGTGACAGTTTTGACTGTGTTAGCAACCAGAAGTGATCAGTGACTGCTGGACAATCAGCATTTTCTGTACAGAAAGTCACCTACTGAAGGGTTGATACCCAACCTTTAGGTCACTGGATTTTCAACTAAACTTTACATATTTTTATTTACCATATCAAACCCCAAGGTCTGAGGCTTATAATGCAGTTTTTGCTATATTTACTTGCAAATATTAATGCAAAATTATGCCTGACATCTTACTCAGAAGAACATGGTTAGATCCTGTACTAGGTTTTATAACTCCAGAAACCCAAAGTCCTCACACCAGACTATCTCAGACTACAGCAGAATGCCCTCTTAACCGCATGCCCTAAGCTAAGCAGGTGCTATTTGCTAAGCACACAGTAATCACCCTTTGCCTTTAATTAACATATTTCAATGCTTAACGCTTTTTCTTCTATAAATCCCCTCCGGTTATAACAGCTTCTATTCAGGGACTTTTGCTCCAGCAGACACTCAATCACTGCCACAAGTTCAACAGCTGCAGCCACGAAAATATTACAGCAGCTAAATTAAAAATTCTCCAGAAATTTTTCATGTCCTTTTGAAGTGCAAGCTTGTTAATAATTGGTGATAGTTTATATGAAAGGCTCTGCTGTCTAAACAGACGTTTAACACATTAGATGGTAATGGCAGTCACTGTAGTGGAACGTAAACACCTACTTGCAGAATTTGTTACAACAAGCTGTTTCTAAATCCCACACAGATGAGCACTGGAAGTGCTCCTGAATTGTTTTAACTAACACTGAACTCGGGCATCCAAACACATCTTTTCACAATGGCTGCAGAAAAGGTTATTTCAACACTCAGTGATAAATAACTCAGCATGAAGCAATTTCAGCATACACCAGGTTTCACCTCTGTAACAAGTAGAACTCCACAGCTGATGCCATGTTCTGCTCTACCTTGTTTTAATTTTTGACATTAGTTTAATAGCTTGCCTGGGAGCTGGACCTCACAATAATTTTGGAATGCCTTGCATTTACCTGAGTTCTAATTAATTTTCTTAATGAAAATATTTGGGAGTTTTTTGGTTGGGTTTTGGTGGTGGTAGGGTTTTTTTAGTTCACCTGAACTGGATTTTTAGGGGGGGGTTGAGGTTTGGGGTTTTTTATTTGTTTTTTTGCCAAAATTCAGAAAGCACAAGTCAGGAGCTAGAGAGGGGGGAGAAAAAAATCAGACCCAAATTCTTCTAAATACTGTTCTACATAGATTTCATACAGAATGCTATACTAAACATAAAATTGGGTTTTAGGAAGGAACAAAATTATCCATCCTCTTATTCAACACAAACTATAAAAAAATATTTCTGAATTCCAGACGCATGATGACTGCCATGCCTGATACAAACAGCAGTCCTAAATAAATCACAAGTCAAGTAGCACATGGTAGCTGGCATTGCAAAATGGGATTTTCCCAGGAAAATGTTCTGACACAAGCAAGCTCCAGATACTGTTCCTTCGAGGTATTTCTGCTTTAAGTAACCAGAACGGAGTGAACCATTTGCATAATGTCAACTTCTGCTTTGCCTGAGACAAGACATTTATTGAGAACATCTTGAAAGGTGAATTCTTCCTATTCATCCATACACCAACATAATTAGAGAGCGACTAGATTTGAATTAAGTTTAATCGCTTGGAGGGGTTTTATCACATTAACAGAGAAGGAAGCACCATGTCCAAGTTACTTCTCATGTCTTCAACCAAAAAGATGTGAAGCAAGAAATAAAATAAGAATTCATGTCAGAAGTAAATTAATTTCATGTGTAGTCAACCACCAACACCAGTATCATCTAGAAAGAGGAAAATGGAAGAACAGATCTGGGCATTAATTTAAAAATACCAAGAGCTGGTTCATTGCAAACTTCTCATGGGTTTGCTCAAGTGTGAGAATATTTCCATAATCCCACTGATCCAGCAAGAGGTGAGAATCCCATCGATGGCCAGGAATCTGTAGTTACACTTCACATGCTTTATTTGCATAAATAATAACAGAGTGATTCAAGAAGTGCTGCATGGGAACCCCTGGCCGGGCTCCTTAACACAGTGAACCTTTGCAAAGAGGAAGTTCAGGAAATCCCAGCTGGAGCACACCTGGCCAAAGGGGGAAAGGGCAGGATGCAAACACGGGGCAGACAGAGCTCAGCTGCTCTGCCACTGCCTGAGCCTGGATTTTGCCAGGGGTCCAAGGGAGCCCTGCCACACAACCAGTGCCCTCCCAGAGCCAGGAGCCAGGAGAGCTCAGCTCCCTCCTGCAGCCAGGGAGGAGCCCAGGGAACCCTTCCACCGCAGCTGTCAGCTCGCCCCAGCACAGAGTGTTACGCAGCCACGGAAACATCTGGTACACAGCTGGCTGTCACAAGGTTTGGCCACCACTGCAGGCAAACTGGCACACTCTACTCAGTTTCTACTCCAAGCTTTCCTTAACAGAAATATCATCAATTAAGCTCTGCTGGTGATTAACAAAGAAATTCTGAGTCAGACAAGGCACATGCAGAGACCAACATTCTAAGTTCTGTCCCGAGCCTAATGATGCTCAGTACAGTTTCATAAATCCCCCTCAACTCATTACCTATATTACAAATAAGATTACTTCAAAAAGTAAAGTTTTCAGTAGTGCTGCTCCAGGCTTGCATTTCAAATTCCTCACAGTTATTGATTTTTAAGACTGTATAATCTTGTGATTAAAAAAAATTTAAAACTTAACTATATTTCGATGCTGTATAAGCTGCACAAAAGTACTAACTGCCATAACTCTTAGGTGGCCTTAATTTAAGAAAATAAGCCAGTTGACTCTTCTTGTATAAGAAAAATAAAACTACTGGATTTGTGAGTGTTACTGGCTGCACAGCAAAAGCCAGTGGATTTAAAAAGCCAGATCAGAATTTGCTAATACCACTCAAGGTCTTGTCTTGGACACAGACACTTCATTTTTAATTATGTCTGACACGGTAACAAGAGCAAGCATTCTCAACTAATTCATTGCCTAGATAACCCTGTGTCTTTAAATTTAATTGTTCTTAACAAAAACATGGAATTTATAAGCTTCCCTGGGTATCACATACCTGTATGTGATATACTTCACTTAAGGAAAAAGTTTGTAACATATTTGGCAATTGTTAACCAAAGGGATGTCAGAATTCTAACATACTTTTATATAGTAAATAACTAACCACAATGTAAGAATTCATACTCTTAATCCTGCATTAACAAATGCATTTAAAATATTTACCTCTATCACACTTCCTCTCAACAGCAAATATCACTGAACATATTCAGTCACAATTCAACACCCTCAGCCTACAGCTCAGCAGACTGCAGGGGAAAAGTTGAATTTTAAGGAGAACGAATAGCTACAATAGAACTGTAATATAAAACTAACAACACACATCAGACTAATGTATCTAAAATATACAGACTTAATTCTCTCTATATATCTAACAAGTTTAAACAGATCGTACCACAATCCTCAGACAATCTTTAGCTGAATTACACAGAACTTTCTGCCTCAAGAGATAGAGGGAGAAGTTTTCCTCTTGACATTAAGAAGCAAACTTTGCTGTGCAAAGGAGGACCCGGTGTTCCCGTACAGAGCAGACCCAGCACGTCCCTGTGTGCCAAGGAACATCGTGCTGGATCACGCCGCCTGAAATTCTCACTGCCTCCTCCAAAACAAATCTTCATTCCGGTCGCATCCAAATGCACTGGCGCGGGGCCACGCCACAGAACGCTGTGGCAATAAATAAATAAACAAACAATGGGTTCTGTGTTGCATGTGCATCTGGGCGCAGCGACTGGCAACAATTAACTCTCGTTACGTGAAATTTAAAATATCACCATCACGCTGTTCACTCGGTAAGTATTTAAAAGCAAAGCTGGCTGGAACAGACGGAGTTGTTCAGTTGAACACTACGAACACTCGCACCAGGAGCCAGAAGAAATTTAAAATATCACCATCACGCTGTTCACTCGGTAACTATTTAAAAGCAAAGCTGGCTGGAACAGATTGAGACTACGAACACTCGCCAGAACAGCCAGAAGGGCTGGGCTGTTCGACCTCAGCCTTACTGCTTCAATATTTATGCATTTAGTTTCAAACCTACAGGGCCTCCAGAACCACCTTTAGAAGCATTTAAAGCAAAACTGCACAGCTCGCTACACTTCTAATCGCCAGTCGCTCGCGATCTTCGCGACGGGGCCGCACAGCGCTGCAGAACGAGTGACAGCCCCGTCCCTGCGTCCTTTAACCCACGGGAAGCGAGAAAGCGGAGGGAAAGGGGCAAGGAAGAGGGAAAGGAAGCGGGCAAAGGGAAGCGCGGCGCCCCTGCCCCGGCGGTACCTCCTTGTCGGGCACCCAGGGCGGCTCGTCCAGGCCGAAGGGGCTGCGGGCGGCGCGGTGCTCGGGCACCATGCGCAGCCCGCTGGGGGAGCGCACCAGCTTCTTCGCGTCGCCGCCCGACATCTTCCCCCGCGCGCCGCCGCCGCCGCGGGACGGCCGCCGGCACCGCCCAATGGCCGCTCGGCGCTGCGCGACGGACACGGCGTCCAACCAATGGGAAGCAGCGACCCTCCGGCCCCGCCCACACGCTCAGGGAGTGCCAGCCAATCCCGTGCCCCTTGTCGTGCTAGTCCCGCCTCCTTCGTTCCCCGCAACCCGGAAGCGAAGGGCGGGGGCGCCACGGCCGCGTCGCTGAGTTGCAGGAAGCGGCGCACTGTGGCCGCGAGGGGCGGCTGCGAGGGGCGGCCCCGCAGAGCCCGCGGTCGCTGCCGCAGAGCCCGCCCGAGGCTCTGACCAGCCCGGCCCCGCCACTCCCGGCCGGCCCAGCGGAGGGGAACGATCCGCCCTGCCATTGGCTGTCCCGCCGGGCAGTCACTGAAGGGAGCTTTGATTGGCCTGCGGCGGGCAGGCTGCTCGCTGATTGGCTGCGCAGGCGGCGGGGGATTCGTGAGGGCCCTGTGGCGGCGCCGCGCGCTGTCCGTCCCTGTGTCCGTCCGTCCCTGTGTCCGGCTGTCCCTGTGTCCGTCCGTGTGTCCGCCCTTCGCTGCCCCCGGCCGCTGCCGGTCCGTGGGACCCCCCTGGCTGCAGCGTGAGCCGCTCCCGGAGTTTCGCTCTCCCCTGGGCCTCATCCCCGGAGCGGCTTCCTGTGAGCGGAGCGCGCAATGGTTTGGAGCCCGTCAGTCAAGGGCCGTCGTAATCATGACTGATTTCAGTAAGTTTCGGCTTCTAAACCTTCTCAGAATGTTGCTTTAAATGGGTGTTACTTAAAAATAGCTCGCCTCTCTTAGATTTATTCTGTTTTTAGCAGCCATCACAACCTCTCCCCCCATGTTGAAAAAGGGATTGTTCATAAAGTCGGGTATGCCCATATAACTCCCCGCTGTCTGTTTCAATCCTTTATAAAGTTTATCAGAATAATGCTAAGAACCTCTTTTAGGTAGCCATGGGGCTAAACTGTTGTGTTTCAGACCAAAGTATTAAAAGAGCTATTTAATGTTACAAGAAACAGACAGACTTCAAGGATTCAATATTAAATTTTTAACTAATAAACGTATATGTGTATGCTAAATAAATGACTGTCCAATGCATGAATAATCCTGGGTCATCCTGAACTGGCCCTGTGTGAGATTTTTTTCTATTAGAAACTGAAAGCCTCGTGTGAAGACTGACAGGGTAGGAATAAATCACTGTCCAGCTTGCTTGTGAGCTGCACTCCAGAGCAAAAGCACTATGCAGAATTACAGGCAATTAAAACTACCAGGAGCTCTTAACTGCAGGATTATTGGCTGAATTCTTCAATAGGATAAATGTAAACATCCATCAGAGAAGACTTCTGCCAAAGGAATTAGAGAATAGCCAGGGTTGGAAGGGAGCTCTGGAGATCATCCAGCCCGACACCCCTGCCCAGGCAGGCTCACCTAAAGCAGTGACACAGGAATGAGTGCAGGTGGGTGTGGAATTCTCCCAGAGAGGGAGACTCCATGGCCTTCCTGGGCAGCTGCTCCAGAGCTCTGCCACCCTCGGTGCAAGAGCTCCTCTTCATCTTGAGGTGAAGCTGAAGAGAGTTTGGCACCGTCATCTTGGCACCCACCTTTGGGATTGTGATGTGCATTGATGGGATCCCTCTCCTCTCCTCTCCCCTGCCCTCCCCTCAGCAGAGAGATGCTCCAGACCCCTCATCCCCTCTGCTGGGCCCTCTGCAGTAGCTCCTTGTCTTTCTTGTACAGAACTGAGCACAGCACTCCAGATGTGGCCTCACTTAGGGCTGAGTAGAGGGGGAGCATCACCTCCCTCAGCCTGCTGGTCACACTCTTCCCACAGTAAAATAATAATTATAATATCAATAATTCTTGCAGAATTGTTACTTCTCTAAGATAACTGATGAAGATATTGTTAAAAATAGAAAATGGAAACTTTTGACACTGATTTGTGCCTATTTTTTTCATGCCTGTGTTTGTGATAAAAGCCATTTTAATCACAGATAATTATGGGATGTGCTGCTCACTGCTGTGCTGTGTCAGGAGATGGATTGGGACCAGTTTGACTTGAACCCTAAAACAATTGCTGCCCTGAAAAAAGGTAATTTAATTTACCACTGTCTCACTAACAGATCTGTCACCACAGTGACATCCTTGACATAATTGTGTGTTTGTGGGTATGAGCAGACAGATGGACACTAACATTTTAGAACTGTAATTAAGTATTTCATAAAGAAGTTTTCTGAGTAATTAAAAGTGTTGGGTTTTGCCCATGCTTAAATAAAAATTTCCAAACATTTTTAGAGCTTGTGTTGGTACAGTCCACGTGAGTGTTGCCTGCCCACCATACAAGAATGCAGTATAGATAAACCTCAAGTAAATAAGAATTACAAATTGGGAAAACTTTGCTGTGTCAGACAGCCAAAAAGTATTTATAAAAATTCCTCTTGTTTCAGCTGACATAAAATCAGTAAAAGAGATTTTAAACCTGTCTGGAGCAGATTTGCAGAGGCTGATGAAGCTCTCCAGTGCAGACATCCAGTGCCTGCTGAAAACAGTCTCTCACACACTGAGGAGGAACAGCATGCTCACAGGTAAGGCAGTCAGGGCATGAAAAGCCTTCTCTCTAGAACTCACAATAACTGTCACTGGGAGAAAATATGGTTCTGCCTCATCAGTGACACAGAAATGTGGGTTTAAAATGAGAATGGAAGTGTTTTAATTATGCTGTAGTGAATTATTTAACTATCCTAAGGACAGCTCCCCTGGGGGGAAGTGGAAGTGAATGGGTGTCATTTTTCAGGATCCAGCCTGATTGAAACAGGACAAAATGTTTCTCCAGTCTGAAACACATAAATACAGGAACAAAATAATTCCTTTTTCTTTCACACTCTCTTCCTCCCTCTCACTATTCTCCTTTTGGACTAAGACTAGTTGAAAAATGTATATCATACATTAAAAGTTTCATAAACTGATTTGTAATAAACATGTCATTCCAAAACAAGCAGGACCTAATGGCTCCTCCTGTACAAATTCTTAATGACAACTCTGTATTTAAAGCATATCTTCTTGTGAATGCATATGTCTTCAGGCTTTGACCAGATGCCTGCTGTGCTGTTTTATACCCTGCTATAGCTTTCTATTTCCATAATTGCTGTGCTTGAACCTTTGCTGTCAAAATCCTCTCTGAGTGTAACTTTCCTCAGGGACACCTTAGAGGCAGAGAAAGGAAACAAAAGAGTTTGAGAGGGAGAAAGAACTCAGTGTAAATTATCAATCTTTGTACAGATATCAGCAGAGGTCTGATGGGGGGAGAGAGGTGGGGAAGTCCAGGCTGAATTAGGGAAATTCTCCATCAACAAAGAAAGCATCTTTTGTAGGGATAAACCTTGTATGCAGCATCTATTTTGTATCTTTGTGTGTTGGAAAAATAATAAACAAAACTACCTTTTTTTTTTTTTTCTTTCTTTTTAATCATTAAAAAACACTCCCAAATCCTGCAGCACTTCAGCTCTACCAAGATAAAGATCATTTCACCTCCCAGCACCAGAGGCTGAGCCTGGGCTGTTCAGTGCTGGACAAGTTGCTAAAAGGGGGCATTCCTGTAGTGGGAATCACAGAGCTTGCTGGGGAGAGTTCTGCTGGGAAGACTCAGATCAGTTTGCAGCTGTGCCTGAGTGTGCAGTATCCTTACAAGTATGGTGGCTTAGAGTCTGGTAAGTGCAGAACTGTGAGCTTGGATTCATGTCCCATTTGAGGGAATATACTGCTTTAGGAACCTCATTAAAGAGGTGCACATGTTCAGTGCATGTCTGACTTCAGTAGGAAGCCAGTTAGTGACTAATGTGTCTTTACAGAGAGAAAAGCTTGCTGTGCACATCCTGCAGCACAACATAACTTAATTCCACATTGCTGTTGGCTGTTGTTTGCTGCCTGCCACTGTGAGTTAAACTAAACCCACTCTCAAGCAATGTAAGAGAAGTGTTGCTGTCATGAGAGCTCATTGACTCCTCAGAACAGCTCAGCAGATAACTTTCTACAAACATCTTGGGTACATGGTATATATTCCCTAGCTGGGGATTTCAAATTTCAAAGATTATTTGTTTTGATAACAACAATTGTACTGATTTACAGAGTAAAATTGATGGAAATGTAATTGAAGAAAAGTAGCATTGTTTTGTACCTGTGATTTTCCTGGGTTTACCAAAGTATACAGGTTTATTCTTTGATTTGAGTATGGTTTTTTTACCCTTCTGTCATATTAATCTAACTCCTAATTTTATTTTTTTTTACTATTGCTGCTGTAGAAAGGGAGGAAGCCTGTGTCACTTCTGAGAATTCTGGTAGTCTGCCTTAGGTGTGTTTTGCCTGTGACCTTGCTGCTCCTTCCACACAGCACTGGCTTTATCTGGCAGCTCAGTGGCTCCTTGTGGGGAAACTCACTAATTTCTTGAACTCTGTCCACCCATGTGGAAAAATTATGGACTGTACAAAGTGAGATCTTGTTTAAAGGGCTGTGAGTAGCCCATGGCTTACATTACATGATGTCATTAATCAGAACAGAAGCAATTGTATTTTGTTCTGTTCCTTTGTGTGCTGCTGCTAACTGCTGCACATAGTTTAAATACATTTTATCTGTACTCCAGCACTTCTCCCTGTTTGTGTTGAAATCAAGGAACAGAGGAAGGTGCTCAATACCCTACTGGCACTCTCTTTTTGAGCCTCCCATGAAAAATACAGCAATTAAAGCTTAGGTTAAATGGGAGGTGTTTTATCCTTTAGCAAACTGTAGAACTGCAATGCTTAGAAACTCTCACAGGACTCTGCACTACCAGTGGAAGATTTTGCTACTGATTTAAAATTATGGTGCACTGTATTTTTTTACTGATTTACTGAAGGGAAACTTCCCTTCTCATAAGTGGTGATGTTGAAATACATTTCTTTAAACAGTTACTTCATCAAATTTAGTGCTAGGCTCCTTTGTAATTCTCAGTGCAAGGAGGCTGGCAGCAAAGAATGCTGAAATAAACAAAGGCCTCCTTTGCCTCCAGGATATCTTTCTGCTGTTCCAGGAATGTCAGTTGTGTTGGCTGAATTTATTTTATATGCCTATATTC